TTTTTGCTATAAGGCACGTGCGCTCGCCAGACAGAGAGACAGAGAGACAGAAAGTGAAAAATCACCCCTCAGGGGGATGGCCACACTGCAATCCCTTCTCCTCCATTCTTCTCTCTAGATCTTGGCACACACGCACACGCGCCCGGTGTGAGTTTTAAGCCACCGGGTTCAGGATGCGAACCACGGTCGACTACATGGGAGTCCAGCGACATAGCCATTACGCTAACTGCTGGCCCTTTCCATGTCTTTTTGAAGACCCCTTGTGCAAGAAGGGACTGAAAAACAAATCATTTTGGATATGAATAAAACATTCCATTTGAGCGATTTGTTTGACTATGTGTGAGAAAGTTTTTTTAACTTGAATTTATGAAAAGTGTAACATGGAGCTGAAACTTGAGAAATGCACATGCTTATTTACAGACACTTTTGTGACATTTACAGACATTTTAATTCCCAATTTAACAGCGCTTGATAGTAGCCTTAAATATAAATTGGGCTGGGTTCAAAATGTGAATGTTGACATATCACAGAAGAAAATGTTGATGATAAAAAAAAATTAAAAAGGAAGAATGACAGTACTTATATTAACCTATTCCCAATCACCAATCTTAAGACCAGAATTTAATTGTCACTTCAACAATGTCCACAGTGGGAAAAGCCTGATTTTAAAGTCAGACAGACACAATGTGTTTGATTGGGTCAAATCAGGAAAAACTATTTTACTCTTTGGGAACTTCAACCTGGATTATTAATAAATATAGTATTCACTCTCTCCCCTCAGAAGGCTGTTTTGGTTTATACATGTTAACTATGAATATTTTTCACTGAAATTTTTTCTTTAAATAGGTTATAATAAATATCTATGAAGAATTAAAATCACTCATGTTTCAAATATATTTTATTATGATGAGGTGTATTTTGTCATATTGAATGTATTCACCTTCTCTTAGAAAGGCCACAATGAGGATATTATTCTTTTTCTTGGAATAACATACTTAAGAGTTCTATGTTCTGATCTTATTAATTTCTGCACTTGATATTGCCGGCTACTGCTGAATCTAGGTTGAATTTTAAGCCTGCTTCTTGGCTCATTTGCCCTACATATTAGAGCATTTGGTGTTACTTGGCTTGATTTCTGTTCTCTTTCTATTATTTTATCTGGGGCTTAAGCAATGGTTGACATTCAATAAATTTGAGGGTCAGGCAACAGAGAATCCCAGAAAACCCTGAGAGAGAAGAGGTACTGCATAGCGCCTTTGGATGAGATTCCTACAGGAAGCTGAGTAAATGAAATGTCTGAAATCACTGGAAGTTTTTAAAATTTAGGACCTCATTGCCTGCTAGGTATTCAGTACTGTTGTAAGTTCTCTATGGCATCTGTAGCCAGAGGAAGCTGACTTACAAAAAGGAGGCTGCTAATAAGATGAGAAACATTTTCCAATGGGATTGCCAACATTCCTCAAGAATTCTTAGGTACATGTCATCCTGACTCAATTTTGGCACAACTGATCCCAGAGACTCCTTCTCCACCAACTCAAGCCATGATGTTTTCAACTGTTTGTGTTTATTGTTACCCAGTTATCTTCACGGCCAGCAGTCTTGAGGTCCCTGATATTAGTATACAGGGGCCGTTGGTTAGTTTTGGAGCCTTGGAGTTACATCTTGGACTGACAGTCCTGCATTGTCCCTCTTATTTTCCCTTGCTCCAGTGTTAAGTTCCTCTCACCTCATCTTTATGCCTTACTAAGGCCTCAATCCGGGAGACCTGAGAGATGAGTTGCCATCTGTTAAGTATCAAGGTTGCTTCTTTTATCTGTCACCGGTGGTACAAAGGCATACCTCTATGATGTTCTGCTCAGATTCAAATAGTTGATTAGTTTCTCCATATGGTCAGAGAGCTGTATCAGGTTCACTAAAATGTTCTGCTCGAGACTCTTCCGAGGCAAAGATCAGTATGTTCCTCTTGGTAGATGTTAATTTTTCTTTTTCTTCTTCATGCTAATGGTGAACAAATGGTATTTTGCCCCAAATTAAAATACTCAAATATTGCCAATGATATTTTGGGTCTTCCTTTTCTAAGTGACATAGTTTTTATTTATTAGTACTACCTTCTAGTTTTTTCCTTGTATCACGTAACATTACCAAAATGCCTTCTGTTCATAAGTAACAGCAGAATCTAGTTTCCTAACCAGTAGCAAGGGGATTCTTGATATACCACCTTCTGGAGGTACTGAAAGCAATTGGATAAATGTGCTGAAATCTGGATTTATTCACGAGTTTGTTAGAGGCTGAGTCATGGAGCTACACGTCACTTCACGTCATCGTTTCTTCTGTCTAAATCATTGTTGTTGAGTCACGTCCATCTGTGTATGTAATGCTAATTTGGTAACAGCTTCTTTACACTAAGCCAGAACTCATTTTACCTGGTGGTTTTATTTTAAATGTATGAGCTGTATGAAATAGCATTCGAATAAGTAATAGAAATTTAACTCACAGAATATGGAAATAAAAGCCATACAGGCACATTGAAACAGAATTGGAAACTGGCACCTGACAATGATTAACAGGTTGAACAGATTAGACTGGACCCAAATCTTTGTAAATAATACAGAAAGACAGAAGATCTTTTTATTAAAGACGACTATTTAGCAGGACTTTGAGATTTGAGAAAATTGATTTGTTTATGCATCATCAATCATTATCAAGATAGATTTGAGCATTAAAACCCAACATACAAAAAAAGAAATAAAATTAATCAATTACCTCCAAATTTCATCTGGTGAAAACCAGACTTTTGGATATTTGGAATCACCAAACTATTGATGCAAGAAAAAATCCATTTTGAATGGATATTTGATTTATATATATATTACTGATTCATAAAATATTTATTAAAATTTATGTAGTCAAAACAACCACGTAGTTATAGAAATCTATCATCTCAATAATTTTGATTAAAATACTGAATATTTTAATTGAGTGGGGCACCCATATAGTATGATAAACTACTCATTTCTTTATTTTACCTTCTGATAAAAATAAGCCTGAATCTGTCATCACTTTTTGAAAGAAAACAGTCATTTTCAAG